TCCGAAGCGGCCCCTCGAGCATCGTCTCCGGCGCAATCTCAGCAGTCAAAAAGAAAGGCATCTACCCCAGCTCCGGCTTCATCTCCGGCTTCTACTCCCAACCCGCCCGAAGCTGTCGCTCCGCCCCTTCCAACGAAGATCAAGGATACGGAAGGTCTTCCTGTAATCCCTTCGCCGCAGGCCGCGAATCTGTCGCCTAATGAATACCAGTCAATTGCGGAAAGGTATATTCTCGGATCCGATGGCATCATGTCGTGAATATGACCTTATAGCTGATATGGATGCACAGTGCGGTTCTTTTGGCGTCCCTAGAAAGGTCAAAGAAGAAATGGCTCAGCGACGGCATTCTCGAGCGTTACTGGACCAAGCCGAAGAAGACAAAGAGGGAACAAATCGAAGGCAAAAACCCGCCTAAGGAGTCGATGTCTAAAGTAGGGCCCTGCAACATCGTGGTTGGCCCTCACCTTTTCGACGCGATGCTGTACACAGTCAAAGATCCGAATGCACCGCCGCCAGTTCAATACGCACCAGCCCAGCGGCCGATGGTTCACTACGGACATCCCAATAATTTCCAGCAATATCACCCATATCCTCACACGCCTGTTCAGAACCAGCGACCACACCCTCAAACCCCCCATGGTACCCCATCCCAACAGGCCTACCCGCAGGGCAACCGCCCACCACCTCCGCAGCCTGCTCGAACCCCGAACACCCAGACTCCTCACCGTCCTCCTGCCCCTCAATCCGCGCAGCGGCCTGCACCCAACCAACAACCTCCCCCTCAGCCACCGAAGCCGAATCCCGACCCCGTCATTCAGATGCTTGCCACGCGGGCGGCACAGGACCCTGAGCTGAAAGCTTTGATGAGACTAGTTGCCTCGACCAATGCAACGCAGGAACAATTACGGACTTTCCAAGCTCATATTGACGAGTTAAACGCCATTATTAGAGCCCGAGAACAGCAGCAACGCCGCCAGCAGCAGCAGCAGCAGCAGCAGCAGCAGTCACAGCAGCAGCCGCCGCAACAAAGCCAGCCACCAACCCCAAGCCCAGCACAACCAGCTCCTCGACCGTCGCAGCCGGTGGCTCAAGCATCTCCACAAACACCGTCACACAGGCCCCCACAGCCGTCTCCGGCGGCTCCTCAGCAGCAGCCTTCGCAACAAGTGCAGCAAGTACCTCCATCACAGACCCAGTCGCAGCAAACACCACAGTCGCACCCTCGAGTCGAAGTACAGGTTCCCAAGCCGCCGCAGTCTACTTATACTCCTCAAAATCCGAGTACAGATTCACCGAACCGTCCACCGTCGGCCTCACAGACGACACCCATGACCCAGGTTAAACAGGAGCCTGGTCTAGGTGCGACGGGCCAGGTACATGTACCCCGTGTCTCAAGTCCGAGCGTCGGACCTGGCCCACAACAAAGCCCTGCAGTGCAGCAGACGATGGCTCCGCCACCGCAGCAACAGCAGATGATGGGACAGAGACCGGGTCCTCAATACCAGTACCAGCAGTCTCCATATCAAAGCCAACCAGCTGCAATCCAATCCCGCCCGCCGCAATACGGCTCGCCGGCCCCGTATTATCGTGCCACTCCCCCACGCCCACCACCTCCCCCGAGGATGAACTACAAATCAGTGGTTTTTGAGTTTACATCCCCCCTTACGCCTTACGGAAGTAGCACCTCAGGTCACGCTGGTTCAGGAGATCGCTATCTATTCCCGGAGAACACGATTTTAGAATGGCTCGCCGGCGGGACCACAGTTATCGCCTCTTTTCTGCTTGTTCGAAAGGTGGATCCGAACACACCGTTCCCGATCGAGACCGCGTCAGATGTCGTTCCCTCTCGCGCAAAGGGCAAATCAACCTCAAAATCCAAGAAGGCTGACAAGAACAAAGACAAGTCCGGCGAAGCTCAACCCGAGAAAGATAAATCCAAGGAGGATCCAAACCCGCACTCCTCAGAGAACATGGATAGTGCTGCTGCCGATTCGAAACAAGGGTCTCAGAATGACCAGGGCGGCCAACAGTCTCAGCAGGCGGCCGATTCGAAGACAGCCAATGACGAGACTAAAAACAAAGTCGAGGCTGATAGAAAGTCCTCTCATTTGAAAGAATACTATCAGCCTGTCACGTTTCGAATCTACAGCGCCAACCCTAAAACCCTTGAGCCCTTAGCACGGGTTGTGAAACCGCCAGAAGAAGTGCGCAAGTATATGAACGAGATCATGGATCGCGCAGAGCGAGCTCCAGAAGGGTTTCTCGCTTACCAACTCCCTCGTGAACAACCAGTGGAGGAGCTCGGATCAGAAAATGACAGGAAGAACGGTACACCTGTTCCGGGATCACTTGTCAATGGACGCAGCAAGCTCTCACGGGGTAGGGCGGTTGGTGAGGATTCGGATACTGATAATATTGTGGACGATGAGGAGGAGGAAGAGGAGCTTAAGGATTTCTACGGGCCGCCAACTGGTCTTGTTCCTCTGGGTGTATGATGCATGTATTTCTGGAACTACTAGTAACGCCGGGGTTACTCAGGGCTGGGTACTGCCAGTTTTTTGACCTAATGCCTTCTTGGATTAGTACACTCTACAAATATATATAGTATATGAGTCGCTCTAGCCCGTCGACCCTGTTCTCCTAGTGTCTGGTATATGTTTTGTTAGGCCAGAAGCGTCGGTTTCTGGGGGAATATTTTTTAGTCCGTCCACGGTGAGTTACAGTGAACCCGTCTTGTCGGGGGTTCGGGGATCTTACTGCCATGCATTTGGTTGCAAGTGTTCGCTACCTCCATCCTACTACCTACGGCTGCGTGGGCTTGCTTTAGTTGAATCATGTTAGGACCGAGATCGATTCGGAATCAAGGACGAAGATTGCACTCAGCGCAGAACATGGTTAGATCTTCTCCACTATATAGATATCTACCCCAAGACCAAGACCATGCTCGGTCCGTCTCCAACCCAAAACTTCACTTTTGATAGGCTACCCTGCGATAGGTAAGATAGTCTCCGACATGCATGAGTCAATCCATGATTATTGCTACTGTAGTCGCCCGGTCTGAACTTAACCAGTACACTTATATAAGTCAGTACCTACCTAGACTTGGCCGTCTCCCCCCCCAGTCTCAACGAACCGCTACCTACCTACCCGCTTATAAAGGAACACATCACACCAAAATGAGTTCGACCACTCTCATCCTCCCCGAACCTTTCGCCAGCATTCCCCGGGAATCCTTCCTCTTCGGCCCCTCGCCCATCCAACATCTTCCCAATATCACCAAAGCCCTAGGCGGGAAAGTCGCCATCTACGCAAAACGTGAAGACTGCAACTCAGGCCTCGCGTTTGGGGGAAACAAGACCCGGAAGTTAGAGTACATACCCCTACCCCTCGCACTTTCCCTTTCCCCCTTACAGGTGGGGGGGAAAAGAACCAAGCCACTGACTGTGACACAGATACCTCGCCGCCAACGCCCTTGCCCAAGGCTGCGACACGCTGATCAGCATCGGCGGCTTCCAGTCCAACCACACGCGCCAGGTCGCCGCCGTTGGCAGCAAATTGGGTCTCAAAGTCTCCCTCGTGCAGGAGAAATGGGTCGACTGGACAGATCCGGTCTACGACAGGGCCGGGAACATCCAGCTCTCGAGACTCATGGGCGCGGACACTAGACTTGACCCCTCGCCCTTTGGGATCGAGCACAAGGATACCCTGAAGGAACTGAAGAAGGAGATCGAGACCCAGGGTGGGAAGCCCTATTACATCCCTGCGGGGGCATCAGATCACCCGCTTGGCGGGCTGGGGTTCGCGCGGTGGGCGTTTGAAGTGATTGCGCAGGAGAAAGAGATGGGTGTTTTCTTCGACACGGTGATTGTCTGCGCGGTGACCGGGTCGACGATGGCGGGGATGGTGGCTGGGTTTAAGCTTGCGGAGAAGAAGCTGGGCGCCCCAAAGCGGAAGATCATTGGGATTGATGCGTCTGCGACGGTGGATGCGACGTTTGCGCAGGTGTTGAGGATTGCGAAGAACACGGGCATGAAGATTGGGCTGGAGGAGGGGGATATCACGGCAGAGGATATCTGCCTGGATGATCGGTTTCATGGTGGGGTTTATGGCGTTCCGGATCAGAAGACGATCGAGGCGATCCGGTTTGGGGCGGAGACGGAGGCATTCATCACGGATCCAGTTTACGAGGGCAAGAGTTTGGCTGGGATGATGGAGTTGGTGCGCAATGGGGAGATCGGGGAGGGGTCGAATGTGCTTTATGCGCATTTGGGCGGGCAGTTGGCGTTGAATGCTTACACGGGGATGTGATTGAGCAAGAGGCATGGAATATCTACTATTCGCAGAGCTGCCCTTACAACAGCGAAGCTACTACAAGACATGAGATATATTGATTCTGATGGTTGAGCAAACCCAAGTACTTACTCATGCAGATCTTCAGCACCGGTTTGCAATGCATGTAGTAGATAGTACGTAGTATCTACCTAGGTAGTCTATCTAAGGTACTGAGATCATATCATGGATCCATCCATCCAGCGGGGGCTCCTTAGTAACCTACCCTATTATTCTCGATTGAAGAATTGAAGATCATAGAGATTTCAAAGTTTGCAACATCAAAGTATACCTCGATCCTCACTCTTTCCTACTACCTTACTACCAGTGTCTCCCTGGTCGTGTCTTGACACAAGACGTATTAAACTCATCCATTCATCACTACAACACAGATATCCTCCAGTCTAAATTTGACAGTGGACGATGGACTACCGAATTCTTTTTATAATTATGGCAAGGTCTCGGCCGCAACTACGATACTGAGAAAAACGGAGAATAAAACAGTGAGCACGGTAACAACTGTTCTCCTGCCACTGCTTATCTACCATTTGGAACGCTCGATACCTAAGGTACCTATGAAGAGCCCGGAGTAGGAAAGGCTAGAATGGGTTTTGATTGGCCATCTCGATTAAGCTACATATATGTCATAAAGGAGGAACCAGCCGTTATCTGGTCCCGTAGCTTAGTCGGTTAAAGCGTCAAGCTTATAACTCTCTCAAGAGGGAGTCTTGGCGATCGCGAGTTCGATCCTCGCCGGGACCAGACTTTCTTTTTTGCCCCCCTACACGGGGTTCTTTTTTTATTGGATCGGAAACCGCCTGCCTTGACGGGACGGGAGGTATGTCGCATGCGTTTAAATAGTGGGAAGTTAGGCTAAAGGGATCCATTACCAAGTCAAGATCCGTAGGTCTCGTCCACGGGTCTTCTTCCTGTGTTCCCTTTCGGGGAATCAAGGTCCGGCCGGGTTTTCTAGGATTCTTTTAACCTTCATATCAGACGGGAAGGGCAAGCTCCGCAGATTCAAGTTGCTGGTCCTTCTGCTCAGCAGTGGAGTTGGAAATTAGCTTCTGAGGCTAGTACCACCTAGTAAGGTATTTGTACAGGAAGTCAGGGGACTTGGTGAAAGAAATCAAGCATGGAATCGTTTAAAAGTTAATGCTGCCCTGGTCGAAATCATGGGTACAGGTCGTATAATAATATAATTCCGACCATGTCAAAGAGCACTATGGTCAAAGCCCTGTTGGCCCTGGCAATAGTAGCTGAAGCCGACGGTCAACAAGTCCGATGCGGAGAAGTCGACCTGTTCGGGAAGGCTGGCACGCGATCCGGATGGATGGACTGGAGGTGCTGGAGTTCCAGTGCCGGACCTCATATTAAATTCTTTCATGTCAGAGCAACCGTCCTCCAGGCTCGTTTCCCTGCAATCATCATATATACAGTTCCTACTACTTCTCTGAGGACGACAGCAGCTCATCGGGCCAGAGCAAACACCCCTTGTCGTATCCCGTCTGGGGAGTTAATAATGATGTAGCCTAACAGCAATCATCGTGGAGTCGGTGGTTCCTGACGCACCTGCGGGTCTGACCCTGAGCTCACCACTCGATCGTTAAATGCCCCGCTTATCCAAGAGTTCCGCACCTGCAACTATTGAAATGCTTTCCTACTTATGGATTATCCGGCCGGGGGTTGATGTAACTTGGTTCTCTGCTACAGACTACGTACTGGCTACTGAGTAAATTGGTTAGGTAGGGGAACCGGCGGTTCCATCCATTCCATCCGACTGGCGTTCCCTTTTCTGCACCTGGACCCTCGCCCGGTCCTGTCGCTACCAGGCATTACATATTGACGACCTCCCCTGTCAACCCTCTCCTCTCTCCTAGGTAATCGTCTTTCGCTCTCCATGTCTTGAACCGATAGAATTGACAACATCCCTTCTTTCTGTACCACAGCGTCCATTGACGTGGCCTGACCTTGTTGTCCGAAGGGTTGACGGTTTCATCATTCCACACGCCATCTACTATCTTTATATTTTCATTTTTATCTGTCCGACTATAAGAGCCATTTCTTAATCTTTCACGTCAGCATGCAAACGGAGCCGTGATTGGTATCTGTGACTTCCGCCCGACTCAGCATACAGGTCCCCAGATGTATCCTCGGGGCGTGCTGGCTTTTGCCAGTGCGATCTCCTCTGCAGCAGCCATAGCCATCCCCAATCCCGTCTCCGCCAACGCACCGGCACCCACAACCACCACCCATGGCACCGTCATAGACCATACCGAGCCCTATTTCCTCTGGACACAGTACGGCCTAAACACATCGGAGGAGTACAAATACTTTCAGGAGCCAGGGAACGACGAGCTTCACGCCCACTATGATTCGCGATTTTTCAAAGAGCCGGTACCGAAAGAGGAGCGTTCGCAGACCTTGACCCGTATCGTCCACTCGTACTTTGAGTACTTCAGAGAAAACGATCTCGAGACGTGGCTTGCACATGGGACCTTGTTAGGGTGGTGGTGGAATGGTAAGGTAAGCTGATTGACCTAGGTACAGCATTTGCCCCCCTCACACTGTCACAGATCATGCCCTGGGACTGGGACATCGATACTCAAGTCTCGGAAGCCACGCTGTTCCGGCTCGCCGACGACTTCAACGGGACTGTCGTCCACTATAATACCGCTGATCCCAATACGCAAGACTCTTATCTTCTCGATGTGAATACCTGGGCGCGACAACGCGATCGTGGTAATGGGCTGAATATCATCGACGCTCGTTGGATCGACATGCAAACTGGTCTTTATATTGATATCACGGGGCTGAGTCGACTGGACAAAGAGAAGCCGAACGAGTGGGGGTGTAAAAACAACCACTTTTACACGATTGACGATATATACCCGCTTCGCCATACCACCTTCGAAGGCGCGGCAGCCAAAGTTCCCTTCCTCTACGAGAAGGTCTTGATGGATGAGTACCAGGAGAAGGCTCTGAAGGAGACGCATTATAACCAGTACGTATCCGTTTGACCGGAAGAGAACCAACGCTAAGTTTTATAGCTATACATGGAACCCGGCGCTCGAAGAATGGATCTCCGACGAGGAAATCGCTGCCGAAGAAGACAAAAAGAACGAGAAGGATGGCAGGCAGTACGAGTAATAGTATAGCTTCTCTCTCGCAACACAATACGTGCATCATGCGCCAATCTTCATACGTCTATACCATGCGGGTTTGCCGGAGTTTCTGGGATCGGAGTCATCAAGGAGCATTGCATGTCGGATCTACTGGCTTTATCATTGGAATAGTCAAGATATCACTAATACTTATTATTATTTTCAATATTAATACTTGCTCCTGGACCGAGCGGGACTAAGTAGATATACTCCAATGTGATCTCCGGGTGATCATCTCCGGGATGACTAACCAAGCGTGGAAAGTGATCGAATGTACCTGGGTAAGCGGATTCATCAACGCCTCCGCGTTTCCCATTCTTTATAAATACACCATGTCGTCTGCACCAGCATTGTCGCATCGCCTATCATCTTATCCTCGTTACAAAAATGGCTGATCCTCGAGAATTGACCGTGACGGTCCACTACCACGGCGAAGCCCACCCCATCAGACTCGCCGCAAAAGCAACCCTCCAAGACCTCTCCAGCACCCTCGCCTCAACTTTCCACATCCCCCCGGAGAACCAGAAGCTCCTCATCGCCCCAAAACCAGGAATGCAAAAGGCCCCCTTCCCACCGACCCCGCTCTCGGAGATCCTCCCACTCGACTCCCCAAAGCTCAAAATCACCCTCCTCGGCACCCCAACCCAAGAAATCACAACCCTCCACACCCAAGCCACCGAAACCCGCCAGCGCGACGAGAAGCGCGCCTCCGCACTCGCCGAAGCTCGCGCCCGAACCCGCACCGCCGCAAACCGTCCCGCTGGCAGCGGCGGAATCCGCACACTCTCCTCAACAGACCCTAACAACTACACCTTCCATCGCCTCGAACCCCTCCCTTACCTCCCGAACCCGGCTCGCAGCCTGACCTTTCTCACCCGCTTGCGCGACGACCCGGGCATCCGCTCCGCAATGGCAAAACACCGCTTCTCCGTGCCGCTCCTAACGGAGATGGATCCGGCGGAACACACCACCTCCGAGTCGCGCACGCTCGGTCTGAACCGGAATAAGGGACAGGTTATTGAGCTGCGGCTCCGCACGGACGCGTACGATGGGTATAGGGACTACCGCACGATTCGGAAGACGCTGTGTCATGAGCTGGCGCATTGTGTGTTCAGTGAGCATGATCGGGATTTTTGGGATTTGACGGCCCAGATTGAGAGGGAGGTGGACAAGGGGGACTGGAAGAGTGGTGGGAGGGCTGTTGGGGGTTCGGGTGGGGAGGAGTTTTATAATCCCGGGGATTGGGAGGTTGAGAAGGAGGGCGGGCATGTGCATGACGAGAGGGGTTGGGTTGGGAGTTCGCAGGTTCTTGGGGGGAGTATTGGGGGTCCTGGTAGTGCTGGTGGTGGGATGAGGGAGGTTCTGGCTAGGGCTGCGGAGGAGAGGGCGAGGAAAGCCAGAGAGGAGAAGAGGGATGCTGATGCTTGATGACATCTTCTACTTTGTTCTTAGCCGATTACGCACATATACCCCATTTCGTATAGACATTCAATAACGTGATGTTAGCTACATACTGATATGAACTTAAAAAAAAAAAGGAAAGAAGCTGCTATATATAGGGCAAAATTACACCTGCTCGTTAACAAACAATCCAGCCATCCCCTGTCCAGTGCCAATGCACATACTCGTCACGAGCACCTTACTCTTCGTGCGTCTGGCCTCACTCAGAATCGTACAGATCTGTCTTGCTCCCGTCGCACCAAGCGGATGGCCCAGGGCAATGGCACCACCACGAGGGTTTACCTTGGCATGATCCAGTCCCAGCGTATCCACACAGTAAACCGCCATGCTGGCAAACGCCTCATTGATCTCAAAGATATCCACCTCCTCCTTGGAGATGTTGAACTTGCTCAACAACTTGGGAATCGCCGCCGTCGGCCCAATTCCCATCACCCGCGGCGGAACTCCCGCAACCGTGGCGCCACAGAACTTGGCCAGAATCGGCTGCCCCAGCTCAATGGCCTTCGACCGCCTCATCAACAGCACCGCCGCAGCCCCATCGGTCACCTGGCTCGAGTTGCCGCCTGTGCTCCGGTCACCAAACTGCGGAAACGCCGGCCGGATCTTGCTCAGACTCTCCACCGTCGTCCCATATCGCACGCCATCGTCCTTGCTAAGGGTCACGCTGCGCTCCTCCCCGGTCTTGGGGTCCTTGACTTTCGTCGTGATGGGGATGATCTCGTCATCGAACCACCCGGACTTCTGCGCCATCTCGGCCCGTCGGAAACTCTCCGCCGCATAGACGTCCTGTTGCGCACGGCTGATGCCGAAGTCCTTCCCGACGTTCTCGCTCGTCTGTCCCATGGGCTGCATGCAGTCCGCGGCCTCCTGGTTCTTCAGGACCTCCTCGTGGAACGGCTTGTTCAGTCGGTCTCCGCCCGCGGACATGAGTTCCGCGCCTAGGGCAACACCAACGTCAATGGCGCCCAGCGAGATCTGGTTCGCGATGTCCTGCACCGCCTTGAGGCCGGACGAGCAGAACCGGTTTACCGAGGAGGCGCCGCTCGTGTGCGGGATTCCGGCGGCAAGGGAGGCGGCGCGGACGAGGTAGGCGGCTTTGCCGTCGTTGACCTTTTATACAACAAAGTTGTACGTTAG